CCCCCCCCCCCCTCCTCTCAACCTAGTCCCTTCCTCTCGTACGCCTATGAGTTATATGCGCATGAACTAACAAAGTTAAGAGACCAAGACTTAGATGGGAGAAATGCTGTTCTATAGATCCTATAGAACTATTCAAAATTTCCTCGCAGGAGCATGCCCTCGGGTTACCACTCAAGTAGATACAAAAAAAATTTTTTGGCACCTGAAATAGCAATAGAAACATTTGCTGACATGCAGATGTCACATTATGCAATGGTCGTTGTAATAATTTTTTTCCATTCCTTAGTGAATACCTTGCCTGAATATATACGCGTACGATAAACGCCTATACCTCATTTTCACTGCCAATAGCATCCCATTTATTTCCCTTCTTCACATAAAGTTTTTCGTTATCCTCACGATACGAAAGCAATCCTGGCACCGATGGAATGTTGTTGAGGCTTTCTTTGTTTTTAACTACGAGTGTCTGAAAGAGATTGAATGAGGGTTTTGTTGGTTTTGGTTAGCGGTAGGCTAATAGCCTATTATTGGAAAAAGTCAATTTCAGATTGAAGTTTCCAAACATATATGGTATAAATTTCTCACATACAATTTTGAAAATAAAAAATGCCATATTGACACAGTATACTTACACCTTCATTAAGGAATGCCTGAAATTGTTCAGAACATGTACCCTGTAAAAGAACGAATTTCGTAGTTCTTAAAACTTAGTTCTTGTGTAAATTTCATGAATCTCATTGCATCAGATGAAGACGAAACTGTTAAACATATGCAAATTCTGTCCAAGCTAATTCTATTACTTGTTTCTTTTTGGATAAATAGACGCTTGCCGAGTTGGCTTGAATACGTGCACAGGAAACAATAACCGACCTGAATGACTATCGAGTGACAATGCGATTATATAGTTAAGTTACAGTCAATAAGATGACATTGTCAACCTCGACCTGGTACCACTGTCGTTGGTGCATTCAAACAAATCTGGGGAGTGCATGTCTATTACTAGTAAAAATACCTTATGAGCAGTACCAGTCATTCTATCAATATAATACGTTTCAGATTTCCCAGCTTCTGTCTTCATCTTAAATTCCATACATCTTTTCCACAATCGTTTCGGCATTCGTGTTCGTATCCAGAACCAAACGTAAACCTTGCCAGTTATGATGGTACCACCGTTGACAGCTTTACATTTTCTACTGCAATAATGACCTCTTCCTCCTTTGGTGCCAAAACATGCACAACACTAAAACGATATAAGCAGTGTAAAAGAATTAATAATTAATCGTAGCACCTGATAAATTAGTAATAGGAAATACTCAACAAGATTTCTTAACACTTAAGGTGGATGCAAGAATCGCGAAAGTAACGAATGACTAGTGATTGAGTAAAAGTGACGTCATTCATGTCGATTTTTTAACGATAATTGACCATTTGCGTAATAGACTAAATTTTGAACTAAACAAGTCTAGACAAAAATTTCATCACAGCTTGAAGGAGCATCACAAAATTAGTAATATTCCAAAGTTTCGTTGCAAAATGTTGTAAAATGCGGAAAATATAGCCTTGCGAAATTTGCAATTTTCAGTCATTTTAGATTACAAATGGGAAATTGACAGCCCCAAACCCTTCGAGGCTGTCAATTTCCAGTTTGTAATCTAAAATGACTGAAAATTGCAAATTTCGCAAGGCTATATTTTCCGCATTTTACAACATTTTGCAACGAAACTTTGGAATATTACTAATTTTGTGATGCTCTTTCAAGCTGTAATGAAATTTTTGTTTAGATCAAAATTTAGTCTATTACGCAAATGGTCAATTCCCAACGTAACATCTTACTGCAACCAAAGATTGTTAATACCATTAGCTAGTAAATGGCATGCTTCACGCATTAATTTAACATATTGCGTTAAAATGCAACGTGTATCATCGTGCAATGCATATAATTTTTAAAGTGCATATTTTCTCAACAATCGGTTTTAATAGACAATCGGAAATATAGATCATTCTACCAATTCCGATTGTCTACAGATAAGGCAAAAATCGGCCCGATGCCGATACCGATTATCGGTCAATCACTAAACAGATCAGTCTTACAAACCTTGCCAGCAACGCAACCAACAAAGGCTGTGGCATCGTGTGTGATACCTGAAAACTCTGAACTTGCACTATAACTGAAAATGTAATATGTCATGTATATTACTTTGTAATGCCAAAGTGACAACATCTTGCAACACATTTTAATAAGAAAACATGCATTTTGTTCCTTTAAAACTTTTTATCAAAATTTTGAAATTCAGTAGAGGAGGGTGGGGGCCGGAGTG